TGAAAGAACTCCAAGTATTCATAACGTCAAAAACACATTCTTACGACGTCTATCTACCCATCATTTGAAAAATCGTCAAAAAGCAGTTATTTAAAACGTAATTAAATTTTTTGATTTGAGATTTCCTAAACTTGTAAATTTTTATAAATTAGGTAAAAATAGTTGCGTTAAAAGGGTAGATACGCTTTATTTTACTATGCTGCGCGAAGCATTGCGCAATGAAAACCCCAGTCGGCCCCCTTAAGCAATTCTTATGGAAGACTTCAGTCAACATTCGACTTAACGACAGATTCTTGCCAACAATGCCATTGTATCGACCATAGATTTTGCTAATTGTTAACTTTAAACGGGATTGTTGACATCTTTTTATCATTAACTTATTTGTCAATAGCCTGCCTCGTAGAAATTGCTCATACATTGAACAATGCGAACAATATCGAATCAACTGGGAGACATAAACTCCATTTGCAGGTGATAATTGTGTTTTGCTACATTAATAAGGGAAGTTGACAATAAAAAAGGTCACCACGTTTGTCATAAGGTTTAGTTGTCAATTTGCAATCAATCTTTAGTGAAATATCCAAGTATGAAACACATTTGTCAGATTCTGTGGTGTCTTTTATATCGACTTCAGGTGGACATATCAAATTAACGCATAATCAAACTGAATATTATTAACAGATAAAACGTTGTCGATATAAATATCGAATTGATGGCCTCTGCATGAGACTTCTTCTTTTTAATGTAAAGTTCTTGAATAAATCCTGCTTCATATGAATAAAAAATCATTTCTGCATAATCAGGGATAAAACTTTGGAACCCTTGACTGAATTAATTTTAAGAGCCATTTTCTGTAATGACTATAACTCTCAATGCTTGAGCCATGGCACGCATAGTCACGAATTTTCTTCGAACTCTCTCTCTGATAAAAATATTTTACACCATAAGCTTACATCAGGAAAGAAATTGGGTTGTTATGTGTCTTGGTTACCATGGTTACATGCTCCAAAGGTTGAAAAATATCATTTTGGAATTTGTTTAAAGCCCCACTTCTAAATAAGCAACAATATATATAAATGAAGGTGACTGTTACCGAAAGTCGAAGACTCGAAATCTTATTCTGATGAGAAAATGTTTGTGTATGCAGGTATTCACCATAGAAACAAAGAACAAAGTATTGAAAAGCAATACATTTATTCCTACATTAAAAAAAGTTATAATAAGTTGAAATGTAACCATATAATAAAGAAAAGGTTTTAGTAATAGTTTATAAGGGAAAATCCACTAGTTGCTAGGTTATTAAATTTAAAGGGATATACCTTTCTTTGTAAAGGTCTATTAGCATACAAGAGTCATTCAAAAAGACGTATGAAATGTTGTTCTTTGTCATATTATTTGTAAGAAATTTAAGATTAACACAATGTCATATGTAAAAAAAAAAAAAAAAAAAAAAAAAAAAATATTTTTTTAAATAATAATTTTAAGTGTGTAGGTTTATTTTATTTTATAAACTCATGTTACATTATTTTAAAAGCAACATGTTTTGTCACTTCGGAGTACTCTTATCAACTTAAAGACAAATGACAATTTCTCAAAAATACACCGCCTCTTCATTTCACACGGAGTCTTTGGCGCCTTATCCATTTGTTTAAAAAGTTTCTATACCACTTTTTACTTAGTTTGCTAACAATTTTTCAAGTATCAAGATACATGTAAATCGTCAATATCTTCACTTTTTTTACCGCGTAACTCTGCTTTCAATAGTTCTGCAAATGTGAAATGAGCATTTCTTTCCATGACGTTACTAACGGCTTTGACCAAATTTGTACTGATAGTTCATTTCCTTTTAGGTTGTTCTAATACATAGTATATAAGAATACCCATCATGTTGTTCAATAAAAAGCCTCAATCATTATCGACAAATTAGAAATTATACTTTGTAATGACAGAAATAATTTTCATGTGGTCATACAGGGACAAAAAATGTTATATAAAAGAAAGAAGCATATTTTGGCAAAATCATTAAAATACAGGAGATATCTAAGACTATTTAAGAAGCAGTAAAAAGCAATTATTTATCATTTGAAAGTATCTTTTTCAATTCATCATACGGAGTTGTTGTATAAAGTGCTGAAAAGTCATATCTTGATTTTGCTAATTTTGATAAAAGTTTTGTGATTTCGAATTTGCTAAAACTGCTTAAGTTTTTGAATACTGTAACAGCACTTCTCAAACATGATTTTACACGATACTGTTAAAGTTTCTCCTTCACTGATATTTAAGTCTTTGAATCCAGAATCGTATAAAAAGTTGCTAGGAATATCAAAAATATTTAAAACTGACATATGATTTCGGGGAATCTTCACTCTTCCTTTGAAAGGGAACTATACATGTAAATATGTTTGATAACCAGTTATAAAATAAAATCTAAGTTCCTCGCCAGTCTTACAGACAAAGACTCTGTTCTTATAGGCTTTGTCAGTCAGAACTAGTACATACTGATAATATAATCTATCTAATTCTTTTCTCACTTCTGAATTACTGGAGACGGACAGATGGTGCACATTTTTCACTCAACTGTTTAATACAGAATTACAATATCCACCTTTTACTTTTATGCTTTCTAACAAATGTCAAAGTTTTCTTCATATTTGACCAACCATCCGTTATAATTTTCTACACAATTTTTTTTTATCTTTATGAAATTTTGTCGCCAACGGAAGAAAGGGGTGCCCCAAAATTTAAAAATGAGTGATTTAAGGTTTTTATAACTGAAAGGGGAAGATGAACATCGACAGGAATATTTCGTTTTTGATGAGCAATATCTTGGCAATGAGGAGGTTTTTTTAAGTGATTAAAGAGTAAAAAAAAAGCAACAATGGATGAATATTTGTAAGAAATACAAGTTTTGAACTTGGAATGTGGATGAATACAAGACTATAAAGGCAATAATCTTGTGTATCTTAACTAACCCATAAAAAGAATTAAAATTGGGGATTTTTTGTAAAATATTTGTATAATGAGCAAAAATTGGCTTTGGTTCAGTCTAGCTTAAACATATTTTTTTGCAATTTTTAAGACAAATGAGAAAGAAGTTCTAACTACAAATGCAATAGTAACAATTCCGTATCGATTAAAATTTTTTTTTATCTTTATGAAAAAAATTACTTGATAATTTGTGTAATATTGTACAAAACTACCAAACATGAGCAATTTGGTTTGGTTTAAACATGTTTTATTTAGCACAGCTGAGCTAAAGGCTCAAGTGAGTTTTTTCAATCAAAATTTTGTCAATTGTCGTAGTTTTTCTGACTGTCTGTCCATTTACTTTTGACATTTTCAATATTTTCTTCCACGCCCTTGGACCATTTTCAACATTTAACATGACACAAAACATCCTTGTGATTAAATAAAGGGTCAATCCCTCTTGAAAGAGGGAGATAATCAGAAAAAGGCAAAAACGGGATTGGTCTTTTCAAAAATATCTTCTCAAGAACCACAGGACAATAAAGGTGAAACTTAAGTGATAACTTTTGGCAGAGTATCTATTCAAGTTTGTTCAAATCTTATAAAATCTTCCCAAGAACAACAGCACCATTATCAGTCATATTGAAATGCGAGTTTCCTAGGGTTTTATAGATTTTAGTTTTTGAAAACATGTCCCCTGGCGGATAAATAGAAAAACAATAGGGGATCAAACGTTTATAAGTATTTTTTAAGACAGCAGCACCAATATTAGTCATATTCATTCTCAGGTAGGGCAGATAAAAGTTTGTTCAAATCACGGCCCCGGGTATAGGGTAGGGCTCCAACAGGGGATCAGGTTTTACATATGAATATTTAGGAAACTGCAATTGAAAACAAAATTTACACTAGAAGGGCCACATTAATTGATTTGCAAACATTCCTAAATTGTGTGATTTTTTCGTTTTCAAATTATCGATCCTGAGTTAGTGTTGAACTAAAATCGGGGATTGAATTTTACATAATCCAGAACAGCAAGGCCCGTTTGTCATGGATAGTGGAGCTTCCCAATGTTGTGTGTTGAATCATTACCCTTTGGGGCTAAGTTGGGGCCACAATATGAGGTCAAAATTTATGAATGGGAAAAAAGGGAAAATGTTAAGGGAACTTAAGTATTTATTTTCTTCCGTAACACTTGATGGATTTAAAAGCCTGGAATGAATCTTTAAAAAAAATTTATGAAGAAAAATAGGGTTAAGATGACATGTGAGTGTTGTGGAACATGTGCTTCTTGCTGTAATTTCTAAGTCCAAAGGTTTTGGACATGAGTTCTAAACACTTGTACATTTATAACAAAAATGGTTGTATTAATTATATGTAGCAAAACTACTAAAGATAAAAAAGGTTAAAAAATTAAAAAAAATGTTTCTATTGTTTCCAAAGATGGAGGTACATTGGTTCGGTTTAGTTTAAACATGTATTTTATTGTGATTTGTAAGTCCAAAGGACTAGAGACAAGTTCTAAAAACTTGTGCATTCTTGAATACTAAATCATGGAATCCATGAATAGATAGTGAGCTCTTAGGGATTAAGAATAATTAGACGGAGTGTAAACACGCGAAACACATTCAACATCATCCTGTATTGAAAACAAACTATCTCGCTAGTCGTAAGAAAGCATAAGATACGATGTTTTGGGTTTGCTATCGTCCAGAACTTTGTGAATAGTTGAGTCAGCTCAATATTCTGATTGTGCCTTTTAATCATCATACATGTACCACTGAATATAGACCTATATCAACTACACCACAGGATTGTGCAAAAGACTGATAGAGTAAAATGTCGAAATCAAATCAAAATAATCAAGAATGATGAAGATTTCTTCTGTTTTCCTAACATTACCATGGAACGAAACAAAATTGTATCCAAATTTTAAAAATCATTTATTCAGTTATCTATGATGACAAAAACAATTCTATCTGAAACGTGACTCATGAAAAGTCACGTTTTCGTAAATCACACAATTTTCAGGGACTTATTAGTAACATATAGTAGCTTATCAACAATTTTTTAAATTAGAAAATACAAAAAACAAAAGTTTATAGCCTAAACAAAGGAACTTTATAAAAAAGCCTTCTAACCTCTGTCATGCATATACATGTAAGTATAAAGTTAAAGGGGAAAGTTTTATTTTACAAGAGCCCAGAAATTTCTTTAAAAATATCTCTGCTTGATAAGTATTTTCAACATAGACATTCGTTGCTAATACGAAAAATGTTTGAGACAGAATAGAAATCTTTCCTTCCATCTCACTTTCTTTCTGAAAATTCATAGTCTTTGTTGACACTCTTTTTCAAATCATGAATATCATTAAATTAAATATTTCACAATAAATAAAAAAAATGGACAAGAATCGTGCAGTCACACTGAGCATGAATGTTTACAAGGCGTCTTAAAAATCACATTGAGAAGAAAAGGAAATGGCATTATACAGTGTTCTTCTGACCTTTTCCTTGCTTATGATAATTGATAGACAATAAAGACTTAATTCATTCGTGATACTGCAATTGTGCATAAAGATTATTTTCACAGACGGTTTTTGCATTATTTTGAAAAAAAAAAAACATAATAAAATATCATTGAATGCATTGCCTATGCAAATAGTTATATAATAACACAAACATCCGTGCTATGCAATCATTCTGAAGAAACGTGTCAATAATTTATTAAAACGTGATATGCGCAAAGTATGTAAATCCAGTCTGCTGTGTAAAGCATTTATTCACACCCCGAAATAAATAATGCATCCAAATATATTTGGACAATGAATTAGTAATGAAAGTTTGTAAATAAACAACCATTGAAAGGTACCTTTATAGTCAGAAATTGTTTTATAATAGCTGGATGATTTCACAGAGGTATAACAATGTCAAAAGTAATAAACACCACACCTTCAATATTTTCATATTGCTGCAGTTATGCATACATGCAATGGTACACTGCTGTAACCAAATATCACACTGTGAATTACTAATGTCTCTGTACATGGTACATACTTTTATTACTCCGCCTCGTGCAGTAATTAACAGGACTTTTGCTGGAAAATCGTGATTTATACAGCCAAAAGAATCTGAAAAAGAGGAATTTTAACAATAAAATACTTTGAGCGAGATGCCCCTTCATTAATATAATTATTTCCTCATTAGGTAAAACACATACCTGTAATTATGTGTTTATTTGTTTATCATTTTTCTTATTTATCTTGTAATACACATTATCACTTACGATTCTGAAAGTCATTCAAGCTTTAAAATGTCTGCTTTTGTGAAAATAAATTTTGTAATAATCACTCTTTTACTTGACAAATAAATCTGCAATAAGACGACGTTACCCGCCCTTTTTTACCGATGTCACATGAACGAAGTCTATAAATAGTTATAGTTATGATAAGTATTAAAACCTATATCTCATCCCGGAAAAATTAGGTAAAGTCACACAAGCAAAAATTGTTATTCACAATAAAACATCATAATCAAGGTTAAATGGAACATATTTGCAACGTACCTTAAATGAAATGATTACCTCTAATTCAAGGTTAATGTCACCAAATAGGTATAAAATCTCGAATACAGAAGTATCTGTAAAACCAGGTGATTGTCTTTTTATGTTGAAAATATTGGCACATTTTTATTATGAGGATGTCCTTCTTGTTTCGCACTATGCTGAAATAGTCAAAAATGATATCATTTGTAAAACAAATAACTTTTCCCCAAACTGTTACAAATATAAGAAGTATTTTTTTTTTTAGAATGAAACGTCATGGAGAAAAAAAGAGCAGAAAATCAAACATGAATAACACTTTAAAGAAATCGCACTGAAACATTCCGTCGTCATTTAAAATAAACTTATAATTATTATATTAACTCCTTTTAAAAAGTTACTTCCTATGTTTTAATTTGCTGCTTTATCCAATGTCTTTTTATTAGAAGGGAGATTCATTCCAATGGAACCTGACATGAAGACCCCAAAGATATGCTAATTAAAATTAAATGAATTAAAAGGCATGCACGGAAATACAAAACCAAGTCATGGAAGCTTATGGTAATATAATTTTAAGTCTAGCATTTAATGTTTAAATCATACATATGGCTGTTTAATTACAATTAATTTACTTTTCTTTTCAATTAGAAGTTTATTTAAGGTTCATAATGAGGGCTGCTTAATGTATCTTATACACCTGTCATTCTTGTCATATATCACTGTGCTGCAGCACGTTTTTTTAATAATTATTTTTCATGATGAAAAATGATCTTTTGTCTTTTTTGGGGGTTTAAATGAGACTTGAAATTGTATTTATCCTTGAAAAAAGTCATAAGGCACAACCCATGGAAGCACATCTTGGGGGGGGGGATCAATAAAAATTGGGAGTGCATAAAATAACAAAAGGCAAGGTAGACTTGTGCATTTGAAAAGGACAAAGTGAAGAAGAAATAATTGTTATATTCACCCACTTTTAAGGCGTGGGAGTACTTATACGTATATATGCATAGTGAATAACAATCTTATGTACGTGTCAAGTGTAATTACTGATGAAGAACGTACCTAATAATACAATTATGCACTCTTAATTTAGCTTGTGAACGAAACGTCTTTGTATTCACATTTGCATCTCTTTAACTGTGTAACCATTTCAAGACCCGGTTTTTCCCCTCCAACTGATATTTTCTTCTGAAAGTCTTTAATTTTTAACCACTGATTACTCCCATTTATTTTTTCTGTTGAATATAAATTGTTTTTTTTCTGTCCATCTCGAATTTAATAAAACCACCTCTCTCTCTCTCTCTCTATATATATATATATAAGTAGTAGTATTCATTTTTATATGTACTTTATGAATTTCTTGAAATAAGGAGACGTGGACACTAAAGAAAGTTAACATAGGGTGTATTTTAACAAAGTTCTTAAGGTCTTTAAGTATTAATTTCTCATAATGAACTGTCAAGTTTAACGCATTATTCATCTCCATGATTATTTCTTTTCTTACGTATGTCTTATGAGAACGCTATTGTTCCATAGCAACAACAAAAGCAGACTTCTATTAGTGTCTTTTTCTAGGCGTGTTCCTCGTGTATCATATGATATAACATCTCAGAAAGTCACCGAATAGGAATGGGAACTTTTGGGTTATTTTACCAGATAAATACATGTATTAAGTTTTGATAAAATAGACATGTTTTTTTGAATTTAGCAAACTTGTTAAATGTCGTTTTCAAATTTGGTTTGACATGATTTGTGACATGGCATGATTTGTCCGTGATTATTGCCTTTGTTACCAAAATAAGCTTTTTGCTTTAAATAACGTGTATATTACTTAAATATTACTTCGGCAAATAATCGCATTCCTTCAAAAGCCAACACGTGTACATAACTTGTTTTCATTTACTAATAGTTAACCTACAAAAAATTGATTTGTTAAACTTTATGTCTGTTATTGTTTTAATGCAAGTAAGATTTAATTTTTTGATAAATGATATTTTAATTCATATGGCAGATAGCTTAAGATTTAAACCAGATATGCCAAATATATATAATTTGTGCTTCGTTTTAATTATTAGCTAAAATTTGGTGTAATAATGCAGTAAACCATGCAGAAATAACAATTTAACACATTTCAGCTTCAACAGACTTAACTTTATTTAAGTAAATTATTTTAAATATAAATGTTTATAGTACATTCTTAGAATGACAGAAAAGATACATTTTATATACATTTATTAGAGCCAAAGTCGTACGAACTGGTACCATTTCATTTGTGTGGTAAGGTATATTTTGTTAAATTACCAAGAAATTGTTTCTAATGACGACCACAAACACATTCATGGTTAAATTTAAGCTGGAACTCGGTAAAGTACCGGTAATTGGCTTGAGACATTTACAATGCATGTAAAGAAGGTAATTGCTGAACCTGGGCTTGGACATATGCCCATCGAGTCGGTCTGTACTTGTGTAACATATAGTTTTGGGGCTACTGCTATTTTTCAGGCATCAAAAACAATTATTATCAATACAGACCATGAAAATTCTGGTGTTTTACTTACGTCATTTCACCGGATGGATCATAAGCATTGGAATTTTGGGGTGTTGTACAAAAATGAGTAATAAGTGACACAAAATATCCAAGATTTGCAAGTTTTCACTGAAAACTATATAAAGGATTGGTCAAAAATAAAAGTTTAAAGAATTGAATATAGTATTAATATTAAATTTTGACGTCATACTGTTCGGACAGATGTGGACATTGAAAAATATAACTTTGTTTTCTATGCTATGTGTAAGATACTGGTTTTGATTTAATTATGATATTACTTACATGCCGTTTATTTTTGTTTTTGCCGTTGTGGGTCTAGCGATGGTATGTTTTCTTTGCTATGTAAAATACTGATTTTGATTTAATTATATTACTTACATGCCGTTTATTTTCGTTTTTGCCGTTGTAGGTCTAGTGATGGTATCTTTTTTACTGGAAGGTCTGATGACTGTTGGACTAATAGTGGATAAGGTCCTTTGATGAAGAAAGTGCTGTGTTAGGTTTGAAATGCCCCGGAAAATGGGTGGCTCTGAAAAATAGAACAACATGAGAGAGTTAAAAGTGTAATTATTTGTAGTTATGACTTTTACTGGCCCGGCCCAAACGACTCAATACCTTTGCAAATCTTTTAACTAGAAACTTCAATGTGTTTAAAATTTTACCATTATTTTAGGGTATAGAACTGCTCAGTTTGTGACAGTCGAATAAGGCAAATGTATAATTCTTTTCGTATCAGACATGAATAACAGATTTTAGAAGAAACGCTTCACTTTATTAAGGAGGTATGCTACAGTAGCACACCAAAAGTTTATTTTATGGATGTTTAAAGTATCTGTGTTGACATATAATTTCAGCATTAAATAAGACCAACATGATATTTTAATCATTTTAAATGAATTATTTGGTATTTAAAAAAAATGACGAAAATATTTTTGCTGCAAATAAGACAATTTAGAACTTACAATTTGCGTTTAATCAATGCATGGTAAAAACTAATGAATTATGGCAAGGAGAGACAGGTAGCCATTTTATGAATTTCAATATATAAATATATATTTATGAATATGAAAATCAACATCTTTTGATATATTTTTTAAATCTGTGGATGAAATATGTGGAGATTACGAACAGTTTTCGAGGTCAGAAGTCCATTAAACATTACAAAATAGGAGCAGAGCAAACACGGACCTTTAAGATATCAGAGGTGGGATCAGGTGCCATGGAGGAGTGAGCATCCCCTGCCGACTGGTCACACACGCCATGTGCTCCTTGTCTTGATCGGGAAATAACGGAAAAATCCGTCGACAATTCAGTGTGTAAATAATGGCCTAACAATTAGTATGAAAAAAGTCAGTCAGCATTTGACTTAATGAAAGATTGTATTTGCTGACAAGGTCATTGTATCGACCATAGAACTTACAAAATGATGACTTTAAACGAGACTGCTGATATTCTTGTTTCATCAATTTGTTTGTCAATAACTTACCTCGTTATAGAAATTGTTCATACGTAGAGCATGCTCTGGCGTATCGAATCAACTGAGTGATAGGGGTATATTGCTGAATAGGTAAGGGAAGTTGACGATTGAAAAGTTAAAGACATCACGTTTATCATAAAGCTTTGTTGTTAGATTACCATTAACGTCTTTTTCTAATAAAATATCTAAATATGAAACAGATGTGTCAGACTCTGTTGTAGCTTTTATCTCAAGCTCAGCTCAAAATCTTCAAGAGCCATTTTATTTATAGAAAATGATTGTTGAACAATTATATTTTGAAAGAAATCGAAATGAAATTGGGAAGTTAAAGAAAAATTTGTTATTTTCTAATTTGCACCAATCCCGATTGAAATTAAACCAAATAAATGAATCCAAATCAAACTCTTATCACTCCATGAATTAAGCTTAATTGTTGGAGGCATTGTGATTTTTGTCTGTGGGTTATTGTTTTCTACATATAATTAAACATGTAGTACGCATGGGATGTCCCCACTTACAAATAAGTTGATCTTGTTAAATATTCGCAAATTTTGTGGTTAATACAATGACCTTGTTTGCAAATACAATCTGTCATTAGGTCGAATGTTTACTAACTTTTCCTTCAAATTGATATGACCTTATTTATTATTATACTGAACTGGTTAAGGATTTTACCCAATCATAATACGATATGACCGGTCGACGGGGATGATTACTCTTCATGGCACCTGATCCTATATCTGATGTTTTCAAGGGTTCATGTTTATTTTGCTTTAAATTTGTATTAATTAATTGGACTTTTGAGCAATATTGCTGTTCGTTATTTTCACATTTCATGTAGTGAAATTATAGTGTCATACATCAATAAGATTGAATACTCCAAAACTACTTTACAAATGCAGTACTCTAGGAATTTAAATGCCTAAAATCTGAGGCTTCCCTTCTTTTTGTCGCTTGCAATGCAGAAGGAAACTTAGGGATTACTTTGCTGGGATGTCTTTCTAACCGTCTTTCACACCTTATATCTTTGGAACTGATATACGTATCACCTTAAACAAACAGAGTTACTGACGTTTGACGTAGAAAATAGGATCTGTAAATTGACTCGTGTTCTTAATGCAAGTAAATGATTGAATGAATAATATTGCCTGTCGTCTACCGATTCGCACATTCAATTCAAATGGAAATGAATCGAAACGTTCTTGACACTTTTGAAAGGTTATAAAAAACAACGGTTGTAAAACAGCCCTCATGATATCATCTGAGGTGTTCTTAATATACTTCGAGAGTCTTGAGAGCTCCAAGGTAAAAATTGTACAAAACGCCAGTCCATGCTAGACTATCCGTGCAGATTTGAAACACCTCTCAATATATATGGTAATAATCCACTAGTTTGCTTACAATAACCGGTGCTAGGTATCGAGGGTTTGTTCCATTACTTGTTTCAAACGGCATGTTTATTTAATCATTTTCAAAGACAGGTCTTTTCGATATTGGCAGAAAGGTTTAGGTATTGATTAAAATTATGTGACTGGAGGTTCCCCAAAAAATTCAATATGAAGAAGAGTGTTGTCATTTCACTTCATTACAGAACATGGAAGAACGTTACTAAAAACATGGATGCATCAGCATTATCGGTTTTAATTATAATCACAATATTCAAGAACAATAAAAAAAAAACTGAACACACCATCCTGAAATCGAGCTCTTATTGATATTCCAGAAATATCTCGACCACAAATGTAGGTTCTTTTCTGTTTCGTTTTTGGATGTTTCGTCCTAAATTTACTCATAATGGTCTGCCTTCTTCTACATTGATATTTATTTACATACTTATTCATGTGACCGGTCGGCAGGGATGTTCACTCCTCCATGGCACCTGATCCAAATTTGGAGGTCCGTGTTTGCTCTGTTCCAAATTTGTATGCTTTCATTGGACTTTCGAGATTGAATATTGCTCGTTATCTTCATATTTCATGCTACAAACAGCAACGAATGGGGTAGCAGATTGAGTTTTGAAATCGTCTTTATAGACAAAGAATGATAAAAGTCTTTAAGTCCTCCTGGCATTGAATTAACAAATACTGTCTTGTGCAAATATTAAGAAAATACATTACGTAACGAAATTGTTATTAAATAACTAATAAACTATTGTTCAGGAAAGTATGCAGTTCATTTGTCCAAACTGTAATGGCATGAATTATTTATCTACAGAGATAACTCCTACATATACTGCACATAAAGTACACTTGTTTTTTATATGTTTTCCTGAGGTTATGATAACCTTGATTCCTTTTCAAGATTGATATATCTTACTATACATGTTCGTTTCTGTTTTCTTTTCTAATATGCATATAACTAATACATTGACTAAACTTCATCCCTAATGTTGCATTTGACTCTTCTTTGTTGGCGTTAATTTTGCCGAAATTATCCTTTAACACCTTAGGTACGGCAAAACATAAAACGGTCGCTTACAAATTTCACAAAATTATGCGATTTAGTGGTAGAAAGTAGAAGCTGAGAAGAACTATACAAGTTGAATAATTATCATTTATTTAGTGAGTGATGTATGTGACAGACATGTAATGTGAATAAATAATTATGTAATTAAAAGTCGTTTATGGTTAGCTATTTTTGTAAGTACATATATCTAACACAGATACGACTAATGGAACACAAAATTCAGGGCATGTTTAACATGTTGTTCTTGTAGTGTTTTATATTCTACTTGTTAAACAAATTAGGAAGTGTCGACAGGACTTAACAAGACTATGACAAATGCAGTACCTGTATTTATATACTTTCTAGTTCGGTACCATCCCCGGCAACCAATGAACGTTTTGAAGGTTAATTGTTGCATTGTCAAAATGGAGAGTTAGTGCTTTTTACCGACTTTGTAAACAATAAAAAATGTAGTAATTAGCTCCAGAAAAAAATGAAAGACTAATGCAACTTTTCTGTGATGGCAGTATGTAAATGAATATTTTTTTAAATAAAATATTTTCCAAATATTTGTACTAGACGTAATGGCCAACGTGTACACTTGTACGTGTATGTTGTATTGCATTCTATACAGGTACTTACTTTATTAAACAAAAAAATTGTTAATTTCATAGCAGTCGATTTATGATTAAAGTTGGGTATGACTTGGATATGAATGTTCAAATGAATGTGTAGGAGATACAGGTTATTGATGAAGCCAGACTTACGTGCAGTCCATGCTGGCAGGAAGCGTTTGGAACTGCAGATTATTGGATCCTGCACTTTATTTGCTAGCAAACTGTTACGTCTAATAGATATCAGGTAGCACATAAGCGAAATTTTCGTGAGGCGCTGGTTTCTAGAAAACCCTTTATGGATGAAAGTAAAAAAAAACATATTCGAGAAGTGGTGTTAATTAAATATGGATACCAAAAAAAAAAACTCCATAGAAATTTTCGAAAATTAGAAATAACAAAATTTTGCCGAAATCAATAGCATCAAAATGTATCATTTTTCAACACTTCATATAAGCATTCCCAACGATTAATTAAAAAAACAGACTTTTTGACATCAGACACAACTGCTTCAAAAATAAATCAATAAATAAATATATAAATAAAACCTGCAATTTTTCCTTTCTTGTTATTGGTCATCTACAAACTTACTTTGTACAAAATCATTCTGATCCTACACACACATATACTTTGATGTTAGAAAGATGCTGAAGTTTCTTATTGACAGTACACTGTATCTACGTAGTCTTTGTAGACCAGGTCTTTCAACAAGCTGTTGGAATTCCAATTGGAACTTATTGAGCCACATTATCAGCAGATCTTTTCTTGTATATTTTTATGAAGCAGAATTCATTTACAAGAAGAAATCTTTTCTTGTAGACTTCAATTTCGACATTTAGGTATTTATCAATTAACAATATTCCTTATCTTCTTACGTTAATACGAAATATACCGTTGAAGTCGAAGTCAGATAAATCGCAAAACCTGGCACATCTGTTACACTTTTCAATACAGTAAAAATTGCTCATAGCGAACACGTTTATAATGAATTGA